AGTTCAACATCCACACCAGTCATGTGGAACTTGCCCTTGTTCTCCTCACTGGCCATGCCGCAAGTTCTTCTCAAACATTTCTTACACTTCCTTTGTGCCACTGTGAGCTGTGAGTTGAGAATCACCTTTGCGGAGTTCCGGCTGAAGGGCCAACCGCACACTGATGTCCAAGCTTCAATGGGCACATCCCATCCTGCATCTTCAACTTGGTGCCAGACACGTTCTCGTGAGTTGTATGCTGTTGAAGCCACCCACAACTTCTTCGGCAGTGTCGTGACCACCACGTTGCATATGTCCCCACTTCGGTTTTGTTCTTCCGTGACCTCGCCCTGTGAAGGTGACACTGCAGGAGGTTCCGGAGCTACATCCAATGTCCCGGCTGGTTTATTACCTTGACTTTTGGGTGGTCTCTTGGGCTTGCAATCATCGTTCGACTTCAGGTTCCTGTTGGCCGGTTCTGATTGCAAGGCATCTTCAGCATAGGTGAGCACCACTGACGACTTCCATCGTCCCAGGAATGCCAGCTCTTGTATAGGCATGCCCAGTCTGACGTAGCCCATCGCACCCGATCTTCTGGCCGAATGCCCTTGAATGTCAGGTCTGGTCACCATGGCCCACCCCTCCACCATCTTCGCTTTGGACAGTCTTTTGTTCTCAGAGTCCTGGAAAACGAATTCGTGTGGATCTCTTTGCTCTCCACGAAGGGCCTTCCACAATTCCATCCATATTCTCCAGGGGCACCATCTCTGGCAGGTTCTGAAGGAGCAGCACTGCAGCGTCCTGCGCACTCCCAAAGCCTGTTGGTCACACTTGGAAATGGGGATGAAGACGGAGATTCTCTTTCTGACCCAGTCCGCCGTGATGTCCTTCCATCTCATGGCGCTGACTTCGATCTCCCTCAACATCCATATGACCGCCCAGGCGTATGACAGTGCTGGTCTGATAGTCCTTTTGGGGCCGCGACAAACGAGGATCCACTTGATGTGCTCGATGTCATCCAGCTTGAACTCAGGTGCTCTTCTCACTGGCCCTCTGTTCCTCTTGAGCGATCTTTTGCAGTCGGCCATCGCCCTATGCAGTTGTTGGCTGACATCCCAGCCGGCCTCGATGTGCATCAACTTCAACTCGTTGATGTATTGGTCTCCCGAGGTCCAACCTACGGCCTTTATCGCCGCTGCCACATTCTCCACCGTCTCGATCTTCAACGGGAAGGGTCGGCATCCTTGCCCACACGCCTCCATGGCCATTGACAATACTTGTTCTCTTTTGGTTTTCTGGGATGCCCTGGACGAGTCGGCCATAAAGTCCTCCCTCAATTCTCGTCTGGCCTCAGCCAACCTTTCCTTGCCCTTCAGCACGTCCATGACCTCTTCAAATGAACCTCTCTTGGCGGCTCCTTTCTTCTCTTCCAACTCTTCTGGAAGTCTTGCCGCATCATCCGCCTCCTGCACCTTGGGTTTGACCCGCTTCAACTCCTCAAAATGAGGAGTTTCACCATGCACTCGATTCCGAATTAACTCATTCATGCAGTTCGAGGG